ATGTTTAACAACGCATCGGTTTGCTTGCAACTTGCCACCTGAGATGTGGCATGTTATTTAGAAGTGCCTTCAATTTGTGACCGAGTGCGAATTTAAGCGCCCCCATCTGAATTTTATGACTTTATGTCATTTCTATTGCACAATTTGAGATCGTCATACCCAGACAAGACTACATACTATATACATGTATGTTAGATATATATCGTTGATTGAATGAGTATTATTTACACAAATGTACAAATGTATGTCTGTGCGCCTATCTTGATGTCGAAATCTTTGTTTTCAATTGATCAGCAATTGAAAAATTCGCTGTGATTCAAATGCAGTCTCTTCAAATATCTCAATATATGTATGCCCACATACTTGTATATATGCGAACAATTTATGTGCCTTTTTTTACACGAATCAATGTTGATTTGTTTGTTGTTTTGTGGTGCGAATGACGAAATATTATTAATAGAAAATTTCAGATTTTTGCAACCAAAAATCCCATAAATATCGAATACATTTATCTTAGCACAAGTGTAAGGTTGAAAGATAAAACAAACAAACATTATTTAATTAATTTTGGGCCTATCTTAGACTTTGTGAAAAAAATTATGATATCAAGACACAACATGTTAATAATAATTAAGTAATTATTATTATTATCAAAAGGTTACTTATTTTTCATTATTTTATTTGTTTCTAAATATATGTTTGGTCAGCTAACTCACAAAATTATTCAACTAAACAATGCGCATATTTATTTCATAGTGGTATTCAGCTCTTCAAGTTCACTTCTTTGTTGCTTTAATTTTGTTCTTTAAAAGAATTAACACTTCTTATAATACATATCGATTATGCTGAATACTTCCTCTACATACATTGTCATTCGGAAGCTGTCGTTTTAGATTCTACGAACTATAAGTACTACATTTTATATAACATCTTAACAGTTCGTTCACTAATTTCGTTTTATGTTTTTGCCTTCGCAGTTTTCAAAACTAGCTGTGTTTCTAAGACCCGGAATGCTTATGGTGCCGCACCATAAAAACTTTCCTGGTCAGCAGTTCGTTTGGGCAAAAAACAAACTGAAATAAGAGAATGGGCGAAGCGAAGCGAAGAACACTCACAGCAGACATGTGAGAGAGGAAGGCGCCAACTTCCGAATAAGTGTTGGCTGTGGGGGTCACTTCAATATGCCATTAGTTGCAGTTGGCAGCTAGAGCCTTCTGCCTCTCACCCATACATACATACATAAGCACATACTCATGCATACATAAATAGTTAAGTGAGGCCTCTGGTGTGTTGGCGTGTTAACTGTTTAACTGACGAGCAGCGCAACTTGGGCCCTAAGTAGGTTAGAGACAAAGCAATCAAATAAACGGCTACGGCAGTAGCAACAACAAGAGAGACAGCGAAGCCATGTTGATACCGGAGCGCCCCACACACGCCCCCTTGGGCGCCTCGACAGCAGATGTATGTACGAGTAGATGTATATGTAGATGTACGTGCCTTGGAATGAGGTTAAAATTGATTTTTGTTCAGCTTTTAGCCAAGTACTCGTCGCAGGCAACGATAGCGCAGGTTTTTCTTAACTGGGCTATTGGCAATTGAACAACAATTGCCAATCGCACTGGCTTGCCAAAGCGAGTCTCGGGGGTAAAACAAGGTCAAAACGGGCGTAACAATTGACAATTGTCATTTGTGTGTCTGTGGCCCCAAAATTCTCTCAAACTTATTTTAGATGTCATGCCAAAACCAATAATACCGATGGCTCACATACTAGCAAAGCTTTGATTACGCGGGCACTTCGATTCTAAAAATGTCTTCAATTTGAAAGAACAATACCAAACAAATTGGTTTTCTAGTAGAGCTGCACAACAATCGATCCACTAACATTTGCACGACTCTGCCAGCGATTTTTGTGTTCTTTAATGATTAGTTTGTTCAATTTGTTTCAATTTATTTTATAATTATAAGAAAAGATGAGCTAATTGATTTAGAATGCACATCAATGCTTCCGAAGCTCGAAGGAATCCAGGATCCATTTGATACTAGCATCCATTGTTTAAACATAGAGTATCACTAATATCGATAATATTGCAACAATTCCGGTTATAAATTCAATAATAATAATAATATAGCATGCAATTCCTGCTGAGGATATGTATTATTTTTTAAACTGCAGAGTCTGATTGTATTTTTGATTATATCTTGCATGTCTCGAACCATCAAATCGACCGATCAGAGCTTGTTAATCCGGTCCACAGAGCTTATCAACAATGACAACGACATAAAATCCATTTCTCCTTGCCAATTTCAATTTCATTTAAAATTCACTACATAATCGAGCAACTGTCGAGAAAATGCTAAAAATAAAATGACAGCACGTGCCCCCCAATGGAGACGTGGTGTGGCGAACCATTCAATTGTTCGTAAGCATGAGTATCGTATCAATCAAAAATCTACAAAAAAAAATCATTTATAGCCACATATGTATATGTACGTACGAGCATCGACACATCCATATATGCCATTTGTATGGCCGTATATGTCTTGGTGCTTATATACTTAGGAATGTATGTGCGTATGTGAGCTCCGAAACTCATCACTGTAGCTCAGTCAATGTGTCCGGTCTTGTCTACTCTTGATTCAAATACAGTGTCCATATCTTTTTTTGGAATTCTGCAATAAGTTTGTAAAGTAAATCAGCAACGACATCACAGCCAGACAAGCATTGGGGGGGGATTTGATTGTCAATGCCAGGCGGGCACAGATGACCGTGAGGCGAGCTTGTGAAGCAAAAGAACCACTGAAATAACGCGTGATTTTGCAAATCCGTGAGGGTGATTTCGAAACTTGCAAGCTTTCTGATAACGAAAATACGAAAAAAAATTAACACCTTAAAATATGGTCTTGGTCGGGTGGCAATTACTAAATACAATTACTAACGAGTCGAAAGCGCTATTACATATTCATAAAAATTTATTTAGCTCACAATAATTTAAGTAGATTTTCGCATTTCGGCTTTATTATTATCTTCGAAAGCAGCCTTTATTTATCTAGTAATTATTATTAAAAAAATGAGAATTATTATTAAATCAATTTTATTAATTGGGTTGGCCACAGTGTAATCGATTGAAAGAATTACAAACATTTGCAAAGAATATAAAACAATATGAAATTGTTAAATTGTAAAATTATCCTAACGAGTCAAAAGAGGTATTAGATAATTATAATTTATTTAGCTCACAATAATTTCAATAGATTTTCGCATTTCGCCTTTGTTATTATCTTCGAAAGCAGCCTATATTTATCGAGCAATTATTATTAAATAAATGAGCATTATTATTAACATTTGCAAAGAATATAAGACAATATGAAATTGTTCATTTGTCAAATAATGTGATTTGAAAAATTTCTTAAGCAATTTCAAATACAAATGAAATAAGTTGTGTTCTGATCACAACTATTTCTATCACTTATGTTGAATACACTCTAGCCTTCCATACAGACGGATACTTTTCAGGTGAAGTTCATCGAGTGCATTAACACAATTTATGGAAACTTTAAAGCTCGTAAAGCTCAGGGGCTTATTATATTTTGGATGTGTTCAAAAATGGAATTTTTGAGAGAATTTGACATTCAATAATGACAATCGAATACAAGCAAATGCCTTATTATCATTTTTATTTATATTTATTTATATTTATTTATGTCAACAAGCCTTATCAGTCGACATAGGAAAATAATATATAAAGATTATTAACAAAAAACCTTATAAGCTAAAAAAGCCTAAGTAGGAGAAATCTTATCAAATAATATCTAATAAATGCCTCCACAGACTCTGAAAAAGAGCTTTCCAATTGTAAAGGATTCTCTTTATTATTTAATAGCTTTATCTAATTACTTAGCTAGTTTCCACATTTGTTTTATTGTATTCAAATAAAACAATGCGTGCTCGTAAGAAATGAAGAGCCACAAAATTCGTATCTTGCCACTATCTCTTAATCTAAAAATAAATAATACTTGGCTTTTGTCTATGTGCCGCGACCAGGTCAGCGATTATACGACAAAATTGATGGCATTATTTTGTTTTTATGGCGGTTGTCATGGCGTTTACACACGAAATCAAACGATTAGTCATTTTTCCTTGTCCCCTCCTCAGCCAGCGTGAACTAAAATTGTAGGCCCTTTAGCGGAGCCCGCCAAAAAAAATCAATAGAAATTTGTACTTTACAAAAGGGTGTAAGGAGGAGGTCAGTAAGTGGTATGCACTATAGTGTGTGGTATGTGGCAGGTGGCATGTGGCACATTGGCGCCTATAATAATCGTTATGTAATCGCACAGACTGACTGGCTGTACGATGGGTTCTCCAGCTGAAGTGAACTCGCTTATAACGTGGTCTATACAACATTCTAGAACTGATTATTTGCAGTCAAATCATTTCAAATTAGAAGGTTACTTGTATTCTACGTTCTTTATCTTTTAAAAAATACTACTATCTAATTAGATTTTTGTTTATGCTTCATTTTGTACAATATTTTTCCTTACTCTTCAAGCAAAGCTAAGTAACTCAATTCAGTTTTTTCAATCTAAGAATATTGGTTCATGAAGGATGTTGAAAAGAATTTCAAATCCTAAATAAGAAAATAATAATCATAAAACGTTACTGTTAGAACAGGAATCAAACATATTCAAAAAACATAACTATTTTCCGTTTAACAGGCACTTCAATTGTTAAATTTAAAATTAAAATTAAAGAACTACTTTTTCCCGAAACAAATGTATTTTTAATAAAAAACTTCGTCAACTAATCTGATAAGAAGAAGGTATCAACTTTTTACATTTTCTTTCAGAATGAAGAGGCAATAAATTTTCCTCAAGCCCAAATATAATTATTAACGATTAAATAATAGTTAGGTAGGTAGATTTTATAGTTATAATTTGACAAATCGTATGTATCATTTTAGTAGATTCTATATAGTTAGTTTAAATTCTTATATTCAACTTACCCCAACTGGAACCGGTACGTCCGAGGCATTGGCTAGTTTCACTGTTCCATATGAATTTTCTGAAACCCTCCCATTTGCCCATTTTTGGCGGGGGCGAGTAGTATTCACCAATTTTCTTGTCAGCCATTTTTCCTTTTTGTTTGTGATTTGTTGCGGTCTGTTAGAGTAACTGTTTTTGGTTTGGTTTTTTTAAGTACTTTGCACTTTGGGGAGGATGTCTTTCGTTTTATATATTTTTAATTTACTATTAAACTAGTCGTAAACTATATTTATTTATTTATATGGCTTAAACTTTACTGTAAGATTTTGAACGCTTATCGTTGGTACAACATTTTTTATGGTTATTTTTAATGTTGGTAGCAGTATATTGGTTATGTTTTGCGCTAAATTAGTATTTCACTGAAAGAGAATGTTCGTGTGGTGTGTGCTTAGGCTGTTGCCACCTGTTTAGAGATATTGGAGAGCGATAAAATTGGAAAGAAAGAGAGTGGTATTAGGATTAATTTCAGATTAGCGATGCCAAAGCATGCATTATTGTTTTTTAGAAATAAGTAAATGGTAAAAAATGTGTGGTTAGGATAGGACCTATAGCTACCTATCGATCTACATTATATGTAACGCCCTAATGCCAAAATCTGAAGAAGAAAACATTATTGAAATATTATCGATAATAATTATTTAAGAACTTTGAAATGCCCTTAGAACTAGAAACATATGTTGAATTGGATTCCTTCGAAGTCTCACATTCTGTCGTGCCAAAATTGATTTTATATGGAAAATATAGAACGGCCGAAAATGTAGTCTGGCCCACCTGTCGTATGTGCAGGAGTTCGGGCACTTTTCAAACTGTCTTATGGAAACAATAGCTGAGTTGGCTGACTGATTGGCTAGCGGGCTGCTTATATAAACTTTTCGTTTTTCATTTGGCATTTACAATGGAGATATGCACATTATTGTTGTTGTTATTGTGCTTCGGCGCAGTTTTCATTTCACTTCTAGCAGTTTTTATTCAATTCTTGTTCCTTTTTTATATATTTTTTTTCTTTCTTTTTTTCTTTGTACTAGCACAAGGACACTTGAGGAAAAGTCTGCGTGCAGCCTCAGTGGTACTAGACTGTTGGTTCCAAATCAAATTCTCACAATCTGAGCACAAACTTATTGCATTTTCCACATTTTCCTCTGAATTTTTAATTCATATTTGGCAATAATTTTTTTTCCAAATTGCTTTCCTACTGAGTTTACGTAAAAAATCGCAGGCGTTTCTATTTCTGCCTTTCAGCCGTACTGCCACACCGCCAACTGTTATGTAATCGAGTGCAGTGCGGAGCGAGCGGTCCAACAACGAAAGCCTCCAGTCTGCCAAAAGTGAGTGCGCGCAGAGAGCAAATACGGTGAGAGCGAGGAAGAGAGAATGCCAGAGGAAATGAGAGAAGGAGGGCAAAGAGGGCGCTTGGAACTACTTGCGTTGGAAAATTGTTCGCTGCGGCAAGAGGAAAAATTTTTTTTTTTAGCCAGAAATATGGTGTGCGCTTGGAAGGCGGCGGAAATCAAATTTGGTCGAGAACCAAGCCATAAACTCGACAGCTGGACTTGACAACAGTTCGTCCTAAGTGGCCGAAATGTCCTTAGCTATTGTTGTTGCTTCATAATGTCAAAGATTGCCTTCAGGGATTATTTCCGTTTCTGCAAAGTGCTCGATTTTTTCAAGATAAATTGTTCTTTCATCGGCTACTTTCTCTAACCGTAAAAGGCATTTCTGTCGGCTTTTCAACATCAACTGTTGGACTAACTAATGAGAAGAGAAAAAGATATAAAAAATAGGAAGAAGAAATGAAGAAAGCCGCGCCAAGCTCGAGGCCATACACCGATGATGTTGATTATGGCATCCGCTCCACTTTGATTATGCCATGTCGTTTCCTTTTTGTCCTTTCTTCTCCTTTTGTCTGCCACGATAAGAATTCCCTTGCATTCATACCAATGCGTCGCTCTTACACGCTCCACGCTCCACACTCCACGCTCGCCTGTTTGACTTAGTTTCGTGCTGCTATTTTCGCTTACACACATTGCGCAATGCGCGGCTGTGAAGGCCGAGGGCGGGCGAGGGGCGGAGACGCACAACTAGGCGCAGTGGGTGAGGAAAGCTCAAAGCTAGAAAACGGTAATAAGAACACCAGGCATGGCAGGGACCGTTAGGCGAAAGTGTAGCCAAAAGCAAGGCGCACAAATGTAGGCAATAATATGTTGCCTTACAAACACGCACACACACACACACTCACTAACACACATAGAGAGAGACAGAGAAAGAGAGAGACACACACATTCACACAGTCTTATTGGCGCTAGGGTGGGGGACTGTTACAAAATCGTGCATTTTTGCATAATTCAGATTTCAGTCAAGCCAAGCTTAACGCTTTAAGTCTGCATGGAACAGTCTCAGGAATTTCCTTTTTCCTTTAGAATCGACGATTACACACTCAAGCCTAGTCCAATCTTTTTTACTTAATCGCAGATAAAGCCTTTTCAGTTCTGTCTCATTATGGCATATCTCTGGCTGTCTTTTAGCACATTATCTCTTCAAGAAATTCTGCTCTGCGCAAATATACATTTTTGTTGTACCGAAAAAAAAAATCGAATTTCAGTATGTACATAAGTTTTACAAGGATATCTTTGCTGTCGCTGTCACAACGTTCTCGCCGCTGTCTGCGCCGTCGACAGCGACGTAATCAGCGCAAACATTTTTTTCCTGCTTTTTTTCTTTTCACGCCATATCTTTATGAATATTACTACACTTTTTCACCCAAAACGGCAAGCGACTTTTGGTGAGGATACTTGTATTTAACGGGAGACTTTGAGATTATGTAGACATGTGTAGATTATATATGTATTTTTTTATTTTGGCATTTGTTTCATCACCTCGAACTTTTTATATAACCAACGTTTTGTGAAAATACATGAAAAATGTTGTATTTTTTCGCAGCGGCGCACAAACACACATACAGATGGATTTTCTTGAGCGCTTTTCTGCTTCTTCTACGTAGACATGTACATAATATTTTATATGCCGTTAATCCGCATACGACAAGCAACCGTCCACAGTTAAAACGCCAATGATAGTACCCGAGCGGCCAAGCTGCAGCGACACGCTAGACGGAAACGAAACGAAACGAAAACGACAAAGTCGCTGACGATGACTCGCTCCACGGTTGGGGCGGTTGAGCTGCACAGCTTTTTCTCTCACACTCCCTCGCTCTCTTTCTCTCTCTCTCTCTCTCTCACTCTCTGTCAGCCCTGTGCTCAGCTGAGCGCCAATGAAAAAAAATCATTGTAGCATGCTTAAGTCGCGCCAGCTCGACTCACCGCCACAGTCTACAGTTAATGCTCCAATCGTTCCCATAACAGCTATATGGTATAGTGAACCGATTTTGATACATCTTCTGACTATATGGATGCATTATAAAAAACTGATAAATAGCAAATTTTTTAAATATGTTAATGAACTTTTCAAAACATAAGTATTAACAGCAAATTTGTTAAGCTATTTCAATAGATAAAAAAAAGGTTTGGTGTCCCTAACTGTTATGGCTATATGGTATACAAATATAGGGTATACAAATATCTGTTAAGTGGGTCCATTGAGGCAAGCCGGTCATTTAACAGCAGAGACAAAGAAAGCAGCAGAGAGAGAGAGAGAGAGAGAAAGGCACAAAGAGAAATGGCAGCGAATTAATTTTGTGAATATTAAAAACTGTGATTTTTATTTGTTGCGCAGCTGCTCTCAAACTGTGCAGCCCTTGGGGCACCGCTCCAAAACTGTGCTGACATTAAAAGGTATGATTAGTTTATAAACTTAATCAAGAGTTAAGCTTTCCATTATCCTATTTCACACTCGACTGCTGACCACATTAGCCCACATTGCATATAAATCGGATCTAGCCAATTGTCTTAGCTCCTCAGACCTTGCAGGCATACATACTATACTATATACATACTATACTATATTATGTCTGCGAGCAATTTCAGTCAAATCAGAGCACAATATTTAAGTGCGTGCAAAGGCCAGAGCCACAGCCACAGCCAGAGCCAAAGCCAGAGTTTTCATATTCGTTTTCCAGCCACTTTTCGAATTCGCCGCAGCTTGCGCAATGGCGCAAAGAGCATCTGAGAATTGTCGCTCCTAATTCCCAAGCTCAGTAATATAATATTTATTGATTATTCGCTGCGGACCGAAACATTTTTCGTTTACGAAACGGAGTTTCATTGCGGATGCTTAAAACCAATTCTAAAGTTTCGGCAAGAAAGCCCTTTTGAGAGGAAATCTGATGCCGTCACGTGCTAATTGACAGTTGTCCAAAAAGTTTGGGTGGGTTTCACTTTTCGGAGGATGTATTTTTATGTATGTGTGGGAGCTGGTGGGCAGATGGTTTTCACACGCATAAATTACGTCATTTCTCAGCTGTTTTTAAGCCAAGTGGCAACAGCAAGTGTTATACAACAACCACTACACGCATACAGATGCAAGCACAGTTTTGGAGTCACACTCATGCACAGACTTAATAGGATTATCTAAGCTTTTAATAGACCATTCGCATGCTGCACGACTCAACTGTTACGTTGAAGTCGCAGCGCTCTTTTAATACTTGGTCGAGTCCCGAACAACAATACCCCACCCATGAATTATGTATGCTATGCCTATGTCCTTTTGCGCCCCAACTGTGCAATGAAGGACATTTTATTTATGGATTGTATAACCATAAGTTAGTGCGCCGATTATTGCGGCATACAGGAATGTGCACACACACTTATATACAACACTTCTAATACGCACTAACGAGTGAGTATAGTATTGTTGCCCCCTTTTAGCTGATAACAAAAAATACTTGAAAAATAGTGAGGAGTTTAAAATTAGTTAAATAAAGAAGTACATTTTTAAACGTGGATCCAATTAGCAAGACTTTTATAATACAAGTAGTTTCAGATCAGCAAGTTGTTTTAACTTGTTTGTTTTTACTAATTTAATATTTTTTATTTTATTATTTATTATTTTTATTTTATTTACTTATAGGCATTCCTTTAATTTATTCTCCTTTAAAGAATTCTCTTCGTAAAAATATTAATAAATTTATTAATATCTTTTCATTAAATAAGTATAGAAAAATATATATGAAATTTAGGTTAATAGTAAGAGGTGTTCATTTTCTTGCTCTTATGTATTACAAATGTTATTATTTTTCAAACCAATTTCCAATTTAATTTAATCACTTTAAAATTTTTCAATTAAAAAAAAAAAACAACAAATTATATATAGCTTGAAAGCCTAAAGTCCAGAATGATTAAAGGACTTTGGCTAACGCTAGATCAAAAAGGATGCAATCATCATTTCATACCCTACTTTCAAAATGATGTTGTGCTTTTAGGCTTTTTTTTCATTATTCCCAAAACGCAAATCCAAAAATAACCACAACCATATATATGTGTGTACATATAGATGTCCTCACACGACTTACTTGTGTGGCAAAGTTTTCTTTTCTTAACACACATCCTATGCTCGATACCCTGAAAAGACACTGTTATGCTGTTTGGAGAGCAAAGACATCCTAATTTTCAGTTTGTCTCCACGTTTGCCTCCACGCTTCAATCAACATGAATCAATCAAAATTAACACCCGAGACATACACACACCCACATATACTATATGCGATGCTGCACAAATCCCCGGAAGCCACAAGAAAACGACAATGGACATTGGACAACGGATAACGGACACACATGCCCAGAAACTAATTCAATTACAGCATTTCAGGATACTGCAAGGAATGCTCGGGTCAACCGACATGCTCAAAGTTTCAACAGCGAGTAAAACAAAAACAAGCTACAATGTTACACGCACATGCCATTAAGTATACGACCCATTGTCACTCAACGTTCTTCGTCTCTGTGGCAGCTGTAGCACAGTTTGCGATGTAGCTCGAAGCACGCACACACCCATATTGTTGCAATGAAAACAAGTGATGTATAGTGCTGCAATGACAGAAAACCGTTCAAGATAGCCACTCGTCTTAAACATTTAAATTATGGCCATTTCCAGCATTAGGAAAGTAAACCGGTTAGGGAAGTAAAGTAAAGGGAAAACGAAAGCACGAAAGCGTAATAGTAATAGCAATAACGAAATCATGAATGTCCTTCAGAGTGAAAATTCCAGAGTCGATGTTATGAGCTCAACCGATTTTATACAATAGTTAAACAAATTTATTGTGGGACAACCACAGTTTGCCATATAGTTCTATTGGTTCTATAGGCCTATAGGTTTGAGGGAAAATAAGCATTGAATAAGTTCAATCGTTTAAATTTAATTCCAATATTTCATTGACTAGGCCCTGGCCTAAAAAAATTTTTTTGAAGATTATTATTGTTTTCCCTATTTAAGTAAAAAAAACATTGACGATCAAATTTAGGTGGATTATTGATTACAAAGGGGCTTCTGTATTTATGAAAATGATATTCTACGAAATTATTGATCTATTTGAGCTTCTTTAAAGCCTTTTTGTCTATCTATTTGTCCCTGCATTATTTGAAAAATGTTTAAATTTTAGAAATAGGAGATCGAGACACACACACCAATCTTTTGGCTTGGTAGTTTGATCAAATACCTATAGCTTGCCGGACAAATAGCTCCATCGTTACCAAATTATTTTAAACAAGAGAGAACGCTACAGTCTAGCAAGCCCGACAGTGTAATACCCTGTACCCAGGTAAACTTCCGTCACTGAGTTATATGCGCCCAAAGCAGCAGCAAAAAGATGAAGAAGAAGAGCGAACTTGTTGCTGCAGTTTGTGGGGTTGTACTGGCGAGAATTTGTTTCGCTAATAACTTTTTTTAGAATTGATAGAATTGAATAAAATTTTAAACAACAGTAGATAATTATTTATGTGTGCAAAGTTTGGTTTAGGTAGCATTTGAAATGTGGACGCTAGTGACGAAATTCTGCAGTGGGGGAAAAAAAAAATAAACTCGTCCTTACTCGGATCTAGGAGAATCTGGATGCCAACTTTGGTTATTCTAGCTTTTATAGTTTCTGAGATCCTCGCGTTCATCCAGACGGACGGACAGACGGACGGACATGTCTAGATCGATTTCTCTCGTCATGCTGATCAAGAATATATATACTTTATGGGGTCGGAGATGCTTCCTTCTGTATGTTACATACTTTGCACAAACCTAATATACCCTTTTTACCCTACGGGTACAGGGTATAAAAATATTTCTATTGTTGGAAGCAATTACTAAACAAAATTTCGAACTTTTCTAAGTTCCAACTTCAAATACATAAAAAAAAGTATTAGTGATAAATGACTCTGAATTAAATTATTTATCCGAGTTTTAATCGGCTAGTCTCGAATTGTCCTGTGTTTACATAAAGGAAATAGTTTATTTAACTTCTTTTCCCCAAAGCTATACTTACATTCATCCTGGAGTAGCTTTGCACTATAATTTCGGAGTTTTCGAACTTTTCTAAGTTTCAACTTCAAATACATATAAGAAGTATAAATGAAAAATGCAGCTCTATGACTCTGAATTAAATTATTTATCCGAGTTTTAATCGACTAGTCTCGAATTTGCCTGTGTTTACATAAAGGAAATGGTTTATTTAACTTGTTTTCCCCTTAACTTTATTCACATTCATGCTAGAGTAGCTTTGCACTATAATATCGGAATGACCTTTTATACACAACTTGAATCCTATCAGTATGGGGTAATATCAAACTTAATCTGTCGAATGCTCAACCGCACGAATCTGACCCACTTTAGTGGTGAAAAGTTCTTTGCTGGCAGCTCGCGTAGAAGGCACAATAATGGTTCGTGTGCATGTCTGTGCGAGTTGCTTGCTTGCACATGCAGGTGGGGGCGCATTAAGCTGTTGCTGTTTTTATTTTTCTTGTTATTTTCTTGCTTGCTTGCCACTTCCGGAGAAAAGGCAAAATTTAAATAGCTACCTGTGCCTGCATAAGACGAGTTTGCGTTAAGCCGGAATAGGGTTTGTAATAAAGTCGACTGAAATTTAAAAACTGTTTACATGTTTTTTTATGCAGTCTGTTTTAAGTTCAACTAGCAGGTTAACTCGATGAAATATTCAGCTGTTAGGCGTGTGTTAAAGTTTCTTAAAGTGTCAAATCTTTCTTGTTAAATAAAGCATGATTATAATAACTTACTCTTAAAATTTGCTTAGAATAGATATTTATAATTAATTATGAAAATATAGATGCCAATATAGATAGACAATAGTGTATAGCTATATGTTTTGATTTTTGGAATGTTCATTAATTTAATTTAATCCACAATGTATGATTAAAATATTAGGGATCTGTAGAATAAATTTACAGCTCATAGGTTACTTGAGCTGTAACGTCCAATTTCTGCATGACTGCATCTCCATCATCGTTTAAGATTTCGAGATCACAGCCTATCTCCTCAGTTTTAAGTACGCCACAACTTTTATCACCGTCCGCCCCATTACTCAATTGCTTATCTTCAGTTGTTATCTTACTTGTACAATCGAAAATTTGTGGCGTATTAGAATTCGAAACCATTTCGGATTCATTTTTCTCCTCACTAGCAGTTTCAGGAGGCTTCATTGCTAAATTATCATGCTCTTGTTCTGTTAATTCGATATCTGGTCGGGCTGGGCCGCTACCTTGTGATAAAGTTCTTATACGAGTAGCTCCTACAAATTTTTCTACCTCCTCGCCTTTTACCAACGGCTCGATAGAGTGTTCACTATTTTCAACGGCTTTTTTTTTGAAAAATACCTTTTCTGTCTCTAAATAGTCCTCATTCTTTTCCAGTTTGTCATCGCTTTTAAATATTTGTTCAGCTTCGTTGTTATGTAAACTTTTACAAGCAGTCTGCTCTAGGCCTCCATCGGAAATCTTCTGCCCTGAGTTCAGATCATGTTCAGATCCATCTACTTTTGCAACCTCGTTTCTCAGCGAACTTGAACCATCGTCAGGAATCTTCTGTGTTGAGCTCAATTCTGCATCGATCTCGGATACATCGACTTGCTTAGCCTCGTTGTCAAGAATATTCTCGCGAGTGATGAGTTGAACTTCAATCTGTGATTCATCGACTTGCTTCAGGTTTGCCAAGTCCTTTTTGAGTTCCTCATAATCTTCTTCTTCTGAATCGCTTTCTCCATTTTCTAGCAAATTCATTTCGTCACTGCTGATAAATTTATTTAATTTGTTCGCTATTTTCGCCCACTTTGCTTTAGCATCTGTTTGAAGCTCCATAAAAGGATCACTTTCTTTTGATTTTCTAAGTTTAGAAATGTTTCTTTGCATTTTTTCGTGTGTCTCAGGATCAGCATTTAAGGGGTTTGGCTCTCCAATGGCCTCTAGGGCTTCGCGTAGTGCTGTGGTTGAGTTTTTGCGTTCCTCTTTCTTTTCCACATACTGTAGGTTATAGATCTCGCGGAGTGAGGCTTGTTCACGGGGCCGTAATGGCTCCAGACCATCATCAATATTATTACATATTAGCGTTTGGAGCGCACCTTCCGGCAACATGGGCGGTTCCACAACAGGCACTTCCTCCTCCGATTCGTAGTCGGTGGAATCATCCGAGATAATATCATCATCAATGCTAGCGACCTTACTGCTTGCTTCCTGTACCTCCTCTTTCTTTGCGTCCTGCTGTACTTCCTGCTCCAGTGATGGTTCGGGATTCTCAGAAGGCTCTTTAATAACCTCTGCGGCAGGTGGCTCACTTTGAAAAGTCAATGGTATCTCATCAGCGCCTTTCTTCAGCACTGTGTCGCCTTCTTCTTCATCTGAAAGTCCACGTCTACTCTGTTGTTCGTAGAGTCGTTCAGTGCCAGTACACAGTTTTATGTGTTCCGCCAGCTCCTCATCTTTTGTACGTTGCATCATTTTCTTCAGCAGGTCATTCTCCTGCTCCACATCGCTGTGAGATTCTGCCTCCCATGGCATCTCTCGCATTTCTTGCAACATCTCGTTTTCCTCATTAGTGAGCTGAAGTGCTGAACTGCCTGCCTTCAGACAGGCCTTTAACTCATTGTAACTACGCATGCACTCGGCTGCCACTTCGGCGTCATCTCCACACATTTCCTGAAAATTCAGATCAAGCTTTTTAAGAAACTCAGCATCTAAACAGCCCACTGCCTTTTCTGTTTCCAAGGAATAGAAGTGCTCTTCGCCATCGTCATCTTGACCGTTGTCGTCCTGATCCTCATCCTCCTGATCGTCATCGTCATCCTGATTGTTATTGTACTGGTTGTAAAATTCGAGATCTTTGTCATCTGTCTGAATACACCCGGTTTTATCATCCATCCACTTCAGTCTACTCTGCTGTCGTAGTTCGTTTCGACGCAACGCTTCTTCTATCAAATACTCAGCAGACTTTCTCGGTTTTGGAACATACGGCTTGGTCCACAAGCCACGAGTGCTTATCAGCCGTGAGGTGTGCTGTCCATCATCCTCGAACTTTGTAGCCTGCTCTTCCTGTTCTTCATTCGCTGTGTCATAGTCATCATTAGACTCCTCACTGTCGCTAATCAGTGGTGGCGGCGGTGGCAGTTCCTCTAGAGCGCCAGTATCTTTCTTCACTACCATCAATCGGTTATCTACAACTTCCAGAGTATCTTCATACTTTTCACGTTGAGCGAAGCAACGTCCTGCCGATTTTGAAACAAATTTCTTGCGTTTCTCTAGTTCTTTAGCTATATCGGCATCCAAACTCTCTGGGGTGTCTTTATTGAGCTCAGGCAGATTCGGGGACTTGAGCAACTGCTGCGCAGCACGGCACTTCTCAGACCAAGTTGTGCCACGTTTACCTAATTTCGAAGTTTGCTTCGGATCTGACAAAGCTGTGAGAAAGTCGCCGAACACATCCAGACATTCTCGTATGGACTTGCCTTTGGCTGGATCTTCCAGTTCTGGTGGCACAATCTTCTCCACTTTCGGGTCGGCAGAGTAGCTGTATTCCTCATCCGATTCAATCGGACCAAAATCGAAATTTGTTGGCTTCTCCGCAGTGGTTATCTCATTATACTGTAGTTCATTGATAAGCTCATCTAACAAGGCGACACACACCTCCTCCGGATTGGGCTCCGTCGCTTGGGACTTTAATTCATTGATGGCTTCCTCGTAAGCTGTATTCACCTTATAGAGCATTTCGTTTTCATCCTCCAGCTCTTGCAGCAGTTTGCGTAGCGAGGCCTCTTCTTCGGCCATTGCTTCACATTTGCGAGCGCATATATTTGCGGCCGCTTGTTCGCTACTTTCCTTTATCAATGGCTCTATAATTGGTTCCGAATCCTTGCCTTCAACATCAGTCACAATAAGTGTTGGCAGTTCATTAACTGCTTGCTCTGGAATCTCCTGCACATCACAGACCTTCAACTGAAGCATGCGCTCTTCTGCCGGCCAATCATGAGCTGGCTTATCGCAGCCAGCGCCAAACACGCGCTTGGGCACATCGTCGGAAGCGTCAATGAGCACTTTTGCAAACGCAATCGCTTGCTCGTCGTCATCGGCATCTGTCTTTTCAACTACTGGCTCCGATATGACATTAGTCGTCACGCTATCAGTCTTAGCAGCAGCTGGTTTTAGTTCGCGCTGACGCCGTTCCGCAAACTCTTGTTCCAGACGCAGCGACCTCGGAGCACTGGAACTCTGTACTACTTCTTCCTCTGCACTCGCCGTATCATCAGTCAATTCTTCTTCAAGGCTAGGTATCTCATTCTCAATCGACAGCCTTACCCACTCCATATCTTCATCCATTTGACGGGTGAGGTCTCTAAGGTCTTGCTCGACCTTGTCATTTGCTTCAGCACATTCTATTTCATAAGCCAATTGCTCCGCAGTTTTTGGCAAAGGACTTTGTTTAAGGTCAAAGTTACAGGGCCTGGGGGTTTCCGCACAGCACATCTTGTCATCGAGCTTAAAATCGGTTGTAATGTCGCTAATCGTTTCTTCTTCTGCAAGATCATCCGCCAAGCCAGCGTACAACTCCTTGATCTCTTTTAACTCTCCTGCAACGTCTGATTCGTAACTACTAATTGGCTCTTCTACTTCGCTAGTAGGCTGAGATGGTAGTTCCTTTACCCCCTGTTCTTGTAAATTCTCTTCAATTTCATTGCTCTCTTTGGATGATTTTTCCTGTTTCGTTTCCTCTATGGCAACAATCTCAAATTGGGTGCAAGTCTTAGCTTCATTTGATCCCAACTCCTCAGTTTCTTCAGCTTCATTTTCGTTTGTTTCGGTATGAATTGGTGATTCGTTAGAATCGTTCTTCTGGAGCTTAGATTTCACAGATTTCGGTATTAAATTCCGGTTGCTGGACTGTTCAGCAATTTGATCTGCAAGCGAATCTGAGGTGCAGTTACTGCCTTCATCACTGGAGGCTGAATGATCTGAATTATCTTCAGATGCTGAGCTCTGTTTGGTTCTCTCGCCTTCCACTTCCGCCCAAATGTCGTCAACACTCCCATTTTCCAGAGCAGCGCGCGTGTGACCCGCGTGAGCTCTTTCGTCAGCCTCTTGCTCTGCTTCCGAGTCCGTAGACGTCAGGAGTGAATCCTGCTGATCGGGTGGGCGATGTCGGTTGCGCAGACGAATGGTGGCTGAAGGTAATTTGCAATTAATATTAATTTACTTTCTAATTATAATCGTGTTTACAATTAACGCTGTCCCGAATTTTTTTGCGCTCTGCTCGATTCCAACGATGATTCTCTTTTCGCTCCCCTTCATAGCCACCCACCTTCCTGAAAGTTAAAAAATTACACTAATGAGCTGTACATATGGATTAATTTAAAAATCTTAGTTACCAGGCCTCAGCACAGGCACGATCGCGGGGAAACACTGGCCGACTATCCAAATAGGTGAGCTCTTTCTGCATAAGAGTTAAGCATTTAAGACTTATACCCAAATATTTTTAACCCCCCTTCCCCCTTCCTCACTTACACAGGCCAATATCAATGTCTTCCGATATTGTGGAAGGCGTGATACTACAGGGTTTCCCTGAAGTACCAGCACTCGTAAGTTCGGCATCTGTTCGAATATCTATACAATTGTAAAGGAAGGAAAGAATGAGAGATCCCAGCAACATAGCAGAGAGTACTTACTTTAACGACCAATATATCGTCAATGCGATTATTTGCCAAGTCTAGAACAGATAGAGTCTTACAGTTGACCAAATGGGACAGACTGTCGCTGTCTTTCAAATAATTGGAGGACACGTTGAGAGTGTTCAGCACGGGCAGTACATCGGAGCCTATATTGTCAAGTTTGCGTATGTGGTTCGAGCTAAGATTGAGGGTATCTAGCTGGGGACAGCATCCCAGATTGTCAATGTGCTGTATTAAATTATTTTGTAGAAAGAGACACTTCAACTTGGACTGCTGATCGAGTCCCTGGATTTCCGAAATGGCATTGCATTCAAGCCAGAGGCATTTTAGCTCAGTGTACTCCTCCAAGCATTCAATGTACTGGAAACCTGGCAGGCATTAAATATTACATTTAATGTTCGTGCTTATCCCACCCACTACCCCGACTCACCCTGATAGTGCAAGTAGAGAACATCATTGAGACGCGGCGTTTGATAGAGTTTATCACGTTTGCACAAATCCCGCAGTCCCTTCTGGGTCATACGATTCAGACCGGTTATTTCCTTACGGGCCGATGATGGCCCCGCACATTGAGCCATCGTTTATATTAATGTAGTAGGTTGTTTTCAAATAGGTTCTTCAACTTATATGAGTGAGCCGGCCCAGTTTTTCTATACAACTCTCACTCAGACTATTCAAAAAAAATTATGTTTCGCACAATAAGCACGGTGCCTACTGTTGTGGATATTTATTGAACAAACAAAGCGGACTTCACATACACAGTAGTATAAGCTTCCACACGGTTGCTATGACTCTATTAAATATAGTTGAAATAACAAATCCGCCTGGTGTTTTCTAAACATCCAAAGGCCACCATAACTACTATTAATGTGTTGGTTTATTCTTTATTTTTTTCTCAACAAAACTTATATCGAATTAAGATTTTTGCAGCATTATTATTATATGTATGTACAAAGTGTAGTATTAATAATAGCTTTGTTATTCTTCTGGTTCTACATTAACTTAGACTTCAGTTTTCACAACTATTATTTATTCAGTTCAAAACTTATAGTAAATAGTTAAGCCTATGGTTTTTACTAACATTTCCTCTCTTCTTATCTAGAACTCGGAATTATTTACTATTTTCAGGCTGCGTCTTTTATTAACTTAGTTCGAAGTCAGCCTGATCAGGTGGGTATGCTATAACATTTTCGGCTTCCATTAGCAGTCCAATAGCCTGAAAGTTTTCCTGCCACATCGCATATTTTTGCATGGCACGCAGATATTTTATAGCTTCAGCCTGGCTTTTAATTTCAAATTTCTTGACTTGACTTTCGTCGGCGGTATCGGTGTCAGAGTTTGTGCCTGAATTTCTTGACCCGTCTTTAATAATATAATCGCTTAAATCCATTGCAATCCCAGACTCTTCATCGTCGCTAATGCCACAATCGTCAGTTGCCACCTGAAGCGTATACTTATATTAAATGAATAATAATAATTAATTTTGGAATCTCACTTTTGCGTTTATGCTTGTACTTGGATTTGTTTCATCAGTTCTCAAATTCAAATTGTTCTTCAAATTGTTCATTGTGGTTAAACTTATTGCACTTTGCAGCACTTTATCCGCGATTTGTAAATCCATAAATCGTGGATTTAAATTTGTTTTATAACTTGCATCTCATGAATTCTTTATTATGAATAACAATAACATAAACAAATCAGCTGTTTCGCTATGTTGTTGTTTCTCTTTTGGCATTCTGTACTTTCCGGAATGTGGTTACACTGAAATAGGTGTGACCAGTTCTTAAAATCCACTGCAGAACTTCGTTTACTACAGTCATTGTTAAATTAATTCTTCAGACTGGTTTTATATGATAATCTCATTTTAAAAGAAAATAATAATAATCGTCCCATCCGCCATTTGAAAGTCGGTTAGGAAACTCACAAACACTACGTGCTATAAATTCCGTTAATTTGAATTCTAGCTAAACAGTGTTGGAAATGGCATTTACTTGCGCGCAATTTTTAAACCAATCGAACACCAATTTATATTTAAGATTGAGAATAAGAAAAAACGGAAAAATATCTTTTAAAATTGTTCATTTATTTAAGTTTTCAGTGCTGCACAGTTGTTTACACATATTCAAATACAAATAATTTTAATTTTATATTATGTTCTATATTACTTTGTTGACAATTATTATTGCAATACGTTGCGTTTGTGATATAAGTGGGTAATAACATTCAGTTTACTTGGATAATTCAATTTTGTGATCGTCCATAAAATCGCATTTCATTAAAGCCTCACGATGCCGCCATATGCTCGATTTTAGCAATTCGTTTTCCATTTAATTGTTTTATTTTTTCTGAGATTTGTTTTTAGAAACTTACACTTACAAATACATATATGTATGTATGTAAAAATATGCTAATGCATTTACTTTTATTAATCAGATCGGTTGTGATTAATTGCATTTTAAATTAAGGGTCCCATAGGCTTGTGAAAACAACTGGTAAATACCACACACGATAATAATATCAATATCAATTAAAATTTCTTGGTTTCTTCCAGTATTATATATGTAGTAATAATGTGTATGCGCGGGTGTATCAAATGAGATTTTCTTTCTTTAATTCGGGGTACAATAATAATAGTTTTTAAGGGCAAATATGCCAATATATCAAATTAAAAATATATAAAAGGTGGGTTACAAGGGTTGGCTGCGAAGACTTAATTTTTAAAAATGTAAAAAGGCAGCCATCGAGGATTCAGCAGGATTCAGGATGTACGGATATGTATGTATATATACATATAAAATCTTCAAAATTCCTCAAAAATCCTATCAATTGTGGCAAGGACACTTTCATAATGAAAAAAGCTTGGGCTGATGATTGGTTGATGTTATGAGATTTTAGAAAAGTTACATTTAAGCGATATATGATTGGATGATAACTGAGTTGTTGAGCAGCATTCTCTGCTTGTGGTTTAATATTATATTTATAATATATTCGTATTTGATTCTTTTTTTGGCCAAGAGATATTTGTTTAAGATTCTTCTGTGAACTTTACGGACTTATTTTAAACGAATGAGCTGTTTGAATTGCACAAGTTGGATGGATATCTTTATGTTATGGTCAAGGACCAAGATACTCTAACGACTTAAAATTGTAAATCTAAATAAAAAGCGCGGTTTTCAGATAAATAACAAATTCGAAAATGGAATAATGTGTGTGAGTGGAATGTGATTATAGAGTGTGGGTGTGTGAGTGAGTTTGTTGCAGACCCGGCAACAACAAATTTCGTATGCGTATGTAATCTACAAACTACCATAAAAGGCCGCTAGCTCAGAGGCGGCACACGGGATCATTGGAACGCAGATTAAACGTGATCGTAGTTGCGGCGAAACGAACGATACAAACAGCAGGCAAAGAGTATGGTAAGGAGCTACACGTATATAAATAATTAGCTACCATTACGTAATTAGATAGCACTTCAAGCACTTACCTGTATGCCCGCCACAGCCAAAACCACGCCGGCCAGTATTAAAGTCTTCGAGTCGAGTATGCCGAGCAGCTTGCGCAGGCAGCCCTCCTGTATGGCATGCACGGTGGTGCACTCCTTGGCCTCGTTCAGATTAATTACAGTGCAGCAAGCAGCTGGCAATGTCTTGTTGGCAAAGATGGGCTCCCAGTCGTTGGGACCATGGGTGCCGCAGCAGTCCAGTTCGGTTTGCAATAGGGTCCAGGCATCGCGATAATCCTCGCGTTCCTTATAGTGCTTCATTGTCGAATTGAACTGTGTTTCCATCAATTGCGGCAAATCGGCATGCTTTATATAGCCAGCTATGCCCAGGCCTATTTCAAACAAAAATATGACCAGAGCCAATATGGCAAAGCTGAGTATCATGCAGCTGCTCTCCTTCAGTGCGCCACAGCAGCCCAGGAAACAAATGAAGGCCACGGCAGCCCCCACAATCATTAGTATGATCGGTGCAGTCCAGATATGATCGCTCACAAAGTTCGAATAGTGCGCATAGTTCAGCTGAACCATAGCCCCCACGAGCAGTATCAGGAGGCCCGTGAGCTATATAAAGCAATGGTTTACATACTCTACAATCAATGGGTATATAATGGGTTCTCATACTCACAGCAAAGAGCAGATTACAAAAGAATGTTATGTATTTGACACATGTCACTCCGCCTGATGCCATTTTAGCCCAAAAGCTACGACTTTGCGCTTCTCTGGATGTGGACGAACTGTGAATATAAAAAAAAAAAACAAAACCTCGTCGTATCAATGGAAGGATATATACTAATGTGAGCCCCACACGCACAAAAACCTGACACCAACTCGACCACACATCAATCAATAAACTGACCGCACACACACTCACCCACAGATAATACACACATGTGAGAAACCAAACCACCACCACCAACAACGCGGCCACCTCCTTCTTCAATGCACGCAATCCACTGCCCCTGTCTGTCTGGCTGGCTGGCTCGCTGGCTGGCTTAACCCTACAAATGTCCACTCTCTTTCCCACACATCATTGGCCAGCGAAAGTTCCCCCCAGCCATTTGCAATTCATGCTTATTGTCGACGCTGGCCTAGATTTTGCTGCATTATTATTTGTTATTACATTTTATTTGAGTGCCGCCACTTGCATAGTTATGGTTACAAGGACGCAATCCGACAAAGCCTCGCAACTGAATGCAACTGCCGCGAAAATCAATAAAAAGTCGATGGCCAACTCGACGTTCTCCCCACAGACATGGCTGCCACCACTGGAAGGGTGCAGCGTTGCAGCTTGTCTGGGGTTCCGGCCATTTGGAGTTAATACACACGAAGAAAATAAATAAGCGCCACTATTTGAATTTCATGCGTACGTGCAATCAGCAAACAAGAAAAATAACATTTATATTAACGGACGCAATAAGTCTGATTACACGATTAAAGCTAAAAGTTAATAAACTGCAAATTAAATATTTTAAAACTCACTCCTTGAAGCTATACACGGTCATTTTTTGTATAAACAACTTTGGCACAACTTTAAACAAGACAGTCAATTGACGACTATTTGAAATTTGAAACCACCTATGCTATATGAATGATTTCCTATCTTTTGTGTAGCTTATCGCAAAATGAATCATTTGTCTATTCTTTTTCTGTATATTTATTTAATAGGCTATCGCTTAAAGCTGTTATCAATGACGACGCATTTAAACAATCTACAATTTCAATTTATGTTCATATTTAATCAAGTAGTTCTACATTATGTATCTATGGCTACCTACTATCTGAGCAATGTACAAGCATAGAATTTGAACTCTTCAATTAGAAGTGGTCGCAGGTCGCCCTACCAATTAACTTGATAGCTCATGCTGATGGTGCCTGTGGAGCATGGAATGCTGAGTGCTCAACAGTTGTTGCGCATAAATGCGTTGAAAAAATATAGCTAATGCAGCTAAAAACACAGAAAATCGATCGACTAGGAATTGTGTCATCCAGCGGCTTTAAGTGGTTAATAGCGCCACTGGGCCAACTGGCCATGCATAGTTAAGTGACGGCCTAAAAAAAAACGCGGAAAATTTGACGTGAAAAAGTTCACCTGTCACAAGGACCAATCAAATAAGAGCCCACACCAAAGGACAATAAGGACGCCTTGTCAATAGCATAACACCGCGTCATCGCTGGAGCGAGCAAAGACGGCACAGTGGGTTACAGAATATTTTTGGATCATAAGCATTTCAAACCATAGTCAGAGAGTCCATTTGAAATGCCCAAAAGGAAGGTAATATTTATACCAACAATTGTTTAATAAGTAGTTATCGAATTGATATTAAGTAACAATTTTGATAGAGGTTTTGATTTGAAGCAATAATTTCATTCAAATTACCTTTTTAAGGGTCTACTACTACTTTCTCTCACCCCACAAGTGCTAAGCAGAGACAGAGTTGGATTACAACAATGGATTTAAAGGTTGCGCACCAATGTGCCACATTTTATAGCATCGTCATTATTGTTGGTGTTACAGCTACTGTTGCTACTACCATTGGGGTGTGTTGTAGCTGGCCAGTAAGAAATGTATAGTGGTGTGTGTGTGTTTGTGATTGTTTGCAGATACAGTCAAGCCTTGCTTACTTAGGCCACAAAAATAAAAATAAACACTATGTATTAAGATCAGATTGAATAGTTATTTTTCTATTTTATTGCCTGTATTTTCATCATTTATTCTATTGTCACCTCTGAATTGACTGGAAACATCTTTTCAGAATATGAATTCAATTTTGAAATAAGTGAAATAGGACTTCTTAAGCACTTCAAGAAGACTAACTACAAAAGAGTTTCACAAAATTCAGCTATTTTCTAATAAAAGTGGACAAAATTATAAAAAAATACAATTATTGGCCTTCCATTTCATTGAGGTTTCACTGTACATATGCACGTATATTTGTAGACGCGTGTGTGCATAATGATACTCGAACTTTGCGTGCTAAGAACTAACTACCTAATTCCGGAAATTCACCTATAAACATGGTTAACGATGCAGAGTACCAGGCGTTGGTTTTCTTTTTGATTGACTGACCGTCGCCTTATACTTTTGTTTGTGGGTGGAATGGGAGCTAGGGAGCTAGGGAGGAGGGCAGCCTGTGTTGTGTTTCGACAAAATTTCAATTGATACGCAAAAGTCGAAAGTGTTTGCAATGCCTGAGCGCGCACAGTGTGGCGAAATTGCAGTGACAACGGCAAAGGTTAATAAACTCTGGGCCAGTAACGAACGTAACCAGCAAAAGAGCACGCAAGCAAACTAACACACATACACAAAACACACACCCATACATATACATATATTTGTCTATGCATAAAAATGCGCTTGCACATGTACTGTACATACATATGCATAAGTCTAGCATCGAAATGCAACTTTTTGTTTTTCGTAACTTCTCTCAAATGTAACGGTAAGCCAAGGCGCAAGGTTTCACAACTTGTTTGCTACTACTTTAAGCAATTATTACGCAGCGCTCTTGAGAATAGAAGAAAAGACAGCAAAACAAAAGCCAACAAACTAGAACGGAAGCAGCAGCAGTGAACCTGAAAAGAAGTAATAACTGCAGCCCGTTCTCTCTCCTCCGTCAACAGCTACATACCTACCTGCGCATCACAACAACACAACTTATACATACAAGAACGCACACAATAACAAACCCCAAACTCCTTCACAGGCTTTTGGTAATAACACAAAATTTACCTTTTCTTTTAAATCTCTCAATTCGTTGCACTGGCACTGCCTGCTGCACGTTAAACTCTATTTTATTTATACAAATTAAGAACAAATCGAATCAAAATCGCGGAAACCGACTATTTGTCAAATTTCGTCCGCTCTAAAAAATCCGCGTCCCAACCGATGTAAGCGTACCTGTGACTTTGTACCAATTGCTAGCCGCTAATCTAGTATTTATCGATGATAGAAAGTCGATAGCATATCTGTCAGCCCTGATTTTCAAACTCTAGTGCTGTGAAGTGGAGGCAGTGCGACTGTTACAGTTCGGCCAACTGGTCACACTATATGCTGCGCGGTATATTTGAAATAGTACGTTCGCATGTATTCATACATACTTCACATTTCATTTAAACATTTTCTTATTAAACAATTAGTATTTCGTTAAGAAACTGGACAGCTTGCTAGTATTACCAATGAATGAAATCCATTTTTATGTGTGTTGATAAACATAACTGTTGGCGCCAAAATAGCGAACAATTTTAATTCAATTAGCCATGTACCCTCAATTAAGAACAAGAAATGCGTAATTTTGTATGCTTTATTCAATAACTTTTGTATTTGCATTCATGTATGTAAGTATTATCATCAAAGATAGCGCAATAAACTAATGTTCATATGTACATATGTATTTACCTATTTCAATACATACATATGTACATATAATTCGTTGCTTGTACACACCAAATGCTCATTATTAAACCAATCTTATAATTTATGTACAATACGAGTAGGGAGTTTAAGTATTTTGTTACATATGTATTTGCTTATGGGTTTTATTTTATAGTACACATACACACATATACATACACATATGCATAGTAAACATTTATATTAAACGGAGCTTAAAAGCTCACAATTACACAACTAATTTATGCGCCTATATTGCAGTATCATACATATACATATCTTACGATTTTGTTGCGCACCAGAATTTGACTAGATCGACTCATGCAGTTTTTTATTCGTCTTATTTATTATACATACCATGGCTTAACTCGACCCGTATTCGTTGTAGAAACCCCATACATACATATTGCTCTGTAGCACGCGTCTTTCGTTGTCTTTGACTTGAGTTTCCACCTGGTAAACCCCCCAGAAATATACAGCTATTACGACAGCCCATCCATGCCCAAAACACTAAATCCTGACTAATCAAACATCATCAACAAGCTTAAGCTCGCACCTCCACCACCACCATCATCGCCACTACCACCATAACCCCAGCCCATCACAACACCCATCCATCCAAACTATGGATGTATGCGCTATTTTTCACTTAATTATTCCTAAGACCCAAGCTTCCAAGCACCCACGCATTGAGACACATACTGTGCACCGTTATTTTATTACTGTTTATCGTTCGCACGTCAACGTCAACATATACGAGTATGTATAACAGAACGTATTGGCGTCTCGCTCCCACCCACCCGGAACGGAAGTGTGCCAATTTCAATGCGCCATTCAACGGTTTTGTGTGTTAATTGTTGTGCTTTGTTGTTGCTGTTCTTGTTGTTGTCGTCGTCGTCCGCCACCCCTGCCCTATCGATGCGATGGACTGGACTATACTTGTATAGTAAATTTCAAGTGCATTAAAAAGATCATGGGTGGTAAATTAACTTAGCGGGCGTCACTTTGCTCGCGACGCCATCTTTGGCTCAATGTTGCTGTTTAACGGTAATTGATGCTTTGTTTGTGTTGTTGTTACCCTTGCTGTTGTTCTTGTTGTTGCTCTTATTTATAGCTCCTCAATGAGTGCATAAGCATACATACATATGTATGTATGTACAAGTATGCACATAATACACATAGTACTACGCGTTTTCATCTCCTCGTTTCGCCTTGGTGTTCCATTCGTCCGTTTCGTTTCTGTTGTTCTAATTCTACACACACAACTAATTAATAAGTATTAGTTCTTAAACTCTTAACAACATTTTTTAGATGTAACAAATATGAAGTACTACTATATGTTATGTTTTAAGCACTAAGGAATAACTTTTGGCGTAAGCCTTTATAACGCCACGAGCTCCGTGCTCAGCACAAAATAAAATTGAGCCAAATATCGGAACAAATAACTCTTAGCACTCCAACAAAAAAGCTGCCAATAAATTACAATTATTTTGATTGTGTCCTTATACGAAGTCTACATTACTCAGTGTTCCTCATTTTGTTATTAAAAATGAAATGAACAAGAAAATTGTTTCATTTTGTCATATCGCGAGAATTGTTGAATCCATTTTTTTTTTTTTGGTATGCTTTTTCGAAAATGAAAACGAAAACACATATTAGTTTTAAGAAATAAATTTTAACCAGTGTAGAATATTTGTGAGGTTTTCTAGAAGTCTGTTCCAAAAATGTTGAGGCAAGAATTATTTGTGTGTTTCTTTTGAGCGAGTCTATCATCGTGACAGCGTTTTTGTTGTTCGGTAATCTAAAATTTATCAATTCTTAGTAACATTAATAAACTAAATGAAATGAAAGTAAATTAAAATCGAATTGAATACAGAATAATCTTTTTGTTGCAACAGTGGTTATTTTATAAAAGTTTCATATTTTTGTAGTCCCCCTTCCACAACCAAGCCAAATTCCTAATATAGTTTTTAGTTTAGTGTTACAATAATAATAATAAGGTATGGGAAAATTAGAACAGCTGTCGCACAAGCTTTCCAAAATGCTGTTCCTATTTAAATTATATTTGCTTGAGCGAAAATGTTGGGAGACACAATTGACTCGTGGCGCTAAATTCTAGACCACTCTACGTGTAAATGTAAGTAGTTTCTAATATATTTAATTAATGTATGCTTTTGCTGATATACGCGAAAATGTTCGTCCTTCTATTTGAAGCTATGAATGTGACATTATGAGAGAATCCTTTTGTGCTGCGGTAACTGCTTCAGCTGGTATTGCATACCATATTAATTTGTCTAAGATTCGAAAAGTTGTCTCCGATCGCTATTTCCTATAAATTCATCGTCCTGCTACAATTACATTCTATATACAAAGCTTCCGTTCTTGCTAGCTGCCTACACGATAGATGGAGCTTACAAGAACTCTCGAAACGGCTCATCGAAGTTATCGTTGACATCCGCAAAGCTGGCAGCAGAGGCACCTCCATTGAGTATTAGAGTCGGAGGGGGTGGCGCCGGCTGGGGCAGCAACATTGTTGTGCCCAGATGATTGTGTGACGTCAAGAGTTGCGCTTGTTGCATGGACTGTGGCGGCGGCTGCTGCTGCTGCTGCTGCTGTTGTTGTTGTTGCTGTTGCTGCTGATGATGAAGGTGTGGCAAGGATAGAGTCTGCTGCTGCTGCTGATGCTGCTGCTGTTGTTGCTGTTGCTGTTGTAGGTGCATGGGTTGCAGCTGCATGGTGCTGTTGGCAGCTGCGCTCAGCAAACTGTTGTCTGAGGCAGCAAGCAATGCACAATCGTAGGCGCCAGCATTGGCCAACGCATCATCGAAGCACAGACCATTGGCGGTGACAACATTTGCGGCTGTTGCTGCCACACTGCCCCCGCCACCACCGCCGCCGCCATTACCCTCCGCCGAGATACTAGTGAGCAAAACGCCCCCATTTAACTCCATGGCTGCCGCCTCCTCGTTTCGCTTAGAGAGTATGATGTGCGTCAGATTGATTATGTAATTCTTGGCCAGCGTCAGCGTCTCAATCTTTGACAGCCGTCGCTCCATTTCCACATGTGGAATGACTTCGCGCAGCGACTGGAAAGCATCGTTCAGGCTGTGCATGCGCATGCGTTCCCTTTCATTGGACTCGAGGCGCCGCAGATTGCGCTCCTTGGCGTTCAGAGCTCCCTTGCGGCGTCGATTGGCGTTGGCAGCACTGGAGCCGTTGTTGTTGTTATTATTATTATTATTGTTGGCGGAAGCTGCGGTCTGTTGCAACTGCTGGGGCCGTCCACGGCTCGAAGGACGCGCCGAGGAGTGATGCTGACCGCCATTGTTGTTGTTGGTGCTGCTGCCGCCATTGCTGCTGCCACCGCCGCCACTTGTGTCATCGCTCTGGGAGCTTGAGTCCGTCATCTCCAGATCGTATGTAGTATTGCTTAGCTGCAAAAAAAAAACCAAAAAGAGGTAAACAAAAATCAAATGGTCACTATAAAGCGTCCTCTAATAATTGTTTCACAATTTTTTAACGTTAAGTAATAGGAATGCAAGCGCTTTAAGCGTGTAATTAAAAGCTACAATTGAAGAAAAGCGCATCAACAATGTTCCTAGCCAATTATTTAAATGTTTTCAAAGAACAAAAACACTCTAATGCACCTAATTCTTTTTTATACGATTTGAAAATTGAAAATTTCAAATATATTTCTTTAGAGATATGGAACCAATGCCCTTTTTGCGTATGTCTTAATGTCTTTTTTACACAGTTCTTTCTGGAACCAATCTACCGTGTAAAAACAGAATTAGGTGTAATTAATTAATATCTACTAATTTATACGCTAATACAAATAAAAAAAAAAAACAAAAATCCGGAAACAATAAAAGAAAATATATAAAGAATGCTTTAGAAAAGCAAAGCTCTTTTTATTTATGCATATTCATAAACAAATAAATGCATTTGCTGTCTCACCTGTGAGGTCCTTCTCGTAGCGCGTCGGACAGGACGCGATGCTCGCTCCGCCGTTTCTGGCGATAGTCCATTGTGTCCGTCTGTGTTGTAGCTATTGGTGCCATGTTGCAGCTGCTCCTGAAGCTGCATAAAATCATGAGTACCCATCAACTCAGTCAACTGTGTGGCATTCATCTTGGCTTCTCGCTGAAGTACTGCGAACAAATATACGTGATGATGGACACTTTGCTATTATTATCCTTTCAGTCTTCTGTCAAATTAGTGCGCATTTCTTCTGCCCGTTCGTAATTAAGTTGGTTAGATCATAATACTATAATAAAATAGACTTCCTCCTGACATTTTTATCTAGATCAGCATCGATTGCTATAAACATACACCACAAACACACAGCAACGTGTTATCTTTAATCGATAGAGCGGTATCAAAAAGCTTGTGTGTTCGGATTTCGAAGCACGTGACTGATAAGCCTTTAATGTTGATGTCAATCGATCTGAAAATTTCGTTACTTTACTTACAGTCTACAATTTGTTTCAAAATCAAAAGCATGCAAAAGCAGCGGACTGTAATATCCAGAACCAGCTATTGAATCATTCCCACAGCTACAAGTATTTGGGACAAGCGTCTCACATTTCATAAGCACATATGCTGTGTCACAAAGACGCCAAGTTAGAGTTAATAAAATGAGGTGGGGTTAATAAAATGAGGTGACTCCTAATCAGCAAAAAACTGTCACTCAATCCGAACTGAAGAATGCGAATTCTGCAAGCCAAAGCTCTTCGCCTGCTACCTGGTGTCCCTCGTATATGAAAACGGCAAACATAGATATGCAAAAAGTTGATGACGTCCTTTAGGAGCAAGCGTCTTCGAACCCATGCAATATTCTAGCAAAAGGACGTTTTATAATGAACAGGAAGCTGAAGAGGTTACATCCTATTGACCTAGCCAATATGTAGGTTAATATCAGTTATAAATAATATGAAATGTAAATAAGACTAAGCTCCTAGTTTTAGTTGTAATTGTAATTTGCTATAAGTTTAATTTTAGTTATTTAAATACTCAAAGTATAATTAAAGTACAAAGTATAATTAAGTGTATATATCAGAAGAAAAAAATGTGAGTGTCAGGTGAGATGTTTAACATTTTTATTTGTTTGTTTTTAAAGAGTCGATTAATCGTATAAAGTCAAATGCATACCTAAATTTACAAACTATTACTTGAAATAGTCGCTGATTAATGCCTAATCTTATCGAAAACGACAATGAAAATTAATTTTTTTCAGCTTTACGACTATTTGATTTTATTTTTGGGAAAATTGCCTCAAAATTGCCTGACTGAGGCCCAGGCATATATATTTTTACAGCAAAATTAATGAAAGTAACTAAACAAAAAAATAGCAAAACGTTTAAAGCTTTGTGTTCGTTCGCCTGCGCTTTTATCACATTCGTGCAAATTTTTTGTTTATTCAGCTTCGTCCCTCTTCGTTACCGTATGCCCTTGAAATACTCTCATATTTTTAACAATCGCAAATTATAAATTTATGCTTGCCTGTGATCCTGCTATTGGTGTACTAATCCTAAATAAGCAGAACTGCTGACGATTGCGTGATTATATAAGCACAACAACAACATCTGCGTTATAAGTAAATTCTAAGGAAAAAGTATCAACGAGCCACGCACTACGTGTATTTTGTTTTTGCGTCTGTCTGGAGCCACTTGCGTTTCAGAAAAGGTTGTCGTTCGAGCCGAAGTTTGACTTCAAAATTCGCTTGGCAAGCCACCGATCTAACAGTCTAATGTAGTTGAAGAAATTGTTTTTATCCTGCTAATCGTATCTTCCCACTTTTCTGATACCATCTCAAAGTTTCCTTCAATAGATTTTAAACACCCTTTTATAGATGTTATTCACCAGAATTTATTTTGCAAATACGTGTGAAACTTCTCTAATTTTTTCTCATTCATTTAACACCTGAATATATGATTCTTAAAACTAGTAGTCTTCTATTTCTATTTTAATAATAAATCCATTTATTTTCATACCTATATTACTATAGATTGATATAGATTTACGCTTTTCCCGCCTTAAATTTAAGTTGAAGTCACCTTTTAATCATTATTACTGACCGAAATTTCTTATTTATTATAAAATGTTGATGGAAATGACTTAATTTGAACAACTGTTGCTATTAAACACTGATACTTATTGTAGGCTCTTGTGATAAACTTACTTTACTCGTACATACAAAGCATTGATTGGAAATTTCACGATCTTCAGTTTCTCCATTTACACATTTTTTACATTTCTAAGAATTCTTCTTATAGTTATTAGTTGAAAATAATAAGATAAAATGTAACTTGCCTAATTTGTCCACTGAAAGTTGAAACGCTTGCAATGTGCTTAGTATGTCTGCGATAAGAACAATATTTTTTGAAGGCCGCTCTCTAACATCACACAACAATTAAGAAGCATGGCGCATTGTAGGCCACGCAGTAAATTCAATAGAAAAGTAAGCTAAATTAAATATAGGAAGACTATAGTGAGTATAAGAAGCCAACACAAAGCATATCCCAAACACTTGTGCGTTTTCCAGCGCACAAAAGTATGCTTTATTTTCTAGAAAGCATAATAAATATTATACAAGCGCAGGTGCTAGCTATCCTTAAGGCGCTCACCGGGTTGTAGATGGTTCCAGCATGGAACCAACTCACACACACACACACACACACACACATGCATAATAGTCGGTGCATTTTCAGTGTCAGCAACAGCAACAGCAACATGTTGCAGATCTGCTGAAAAGGTTGGAGAGACAGACGGTCCTGACGACATCGCATGTCCAAATGCCAACAAAAGATGCTGCCGAGTTGCCAACACATTATGAGCGACAAATCGCATGCTTCTGCCTCTTGTCTTGCTGCTTACAAAGATGTAGTAAAACGGTTTGAGGTTCATGATTTTATAACCAAGAGCCATTACACAACTGCCCTGAGTATAACCCCATAACCTTATTCCTTGCCATGGCATGCTTTCCCATGCCTTTACTTGCCTGCATGTTGTTGCAATTTCTTTTAGCATTTCCCTTAAAGATGCCGTGAAGTCGTGGGTGCGTAAAGCGCCAAAGGATGTTGCCACAACATGCAGTTAAATAATAGCGACACTTTTGTTTTCTCGGCGGCCAAAGGAACGCAAAGCGTTGAGAAATGTGCACGGTTCGCATTACAGTCGCCGCATTTCTTGCACTTTAAATGCGCCCCGCTGTTCCGGTCAAATGCTCTAGGCCAAGGAGCATAACCATAACAACGTACAGCGCGACTAAATAGAAAACATTTACTGCGTGCTTGTACATACTCGCATTTTGGATTCTTCAACCACAATGCAATGTATTGACTCCTGGACTACAAGCCACCGAGCAACAGGCGCAAACAATGGCCCTCCGCTGGTCTCTGTATTTTCAAATGATTGGGGCTCTTGGTTTTTTATCGTTGCGATCATTGGTTTCCATTAGACTTGGCTTGTTCATGGCTGGCTCGACACATTACATTAAAATTGTTTTAAGTAAGTATGCAGCAAAGTCTTTAAACCGCATTAATTGGCTGACAAATCAAGAGCCTGTTGCTGTTACCATCAGAAGATGGATTGGATATATCTTGAACAGAATCCACAACGATATAAGTCGAGTTGCATTAGAATGGAATCCCCAGGGAAGTAGAAGAAGAGGAAGGCACCACAAAACGTGAAGCAGAATTGGTTACCATTGGAAGAACAGTAAAAAACATTACCTTTAAATAGAATTAGATGTCGTAGTTGGCAAGGGCGTAGGCAGGGGGGTGGGGGCAGGGGGGCCATTGCCTAGAAAAAAATTTTCCCAATTAAAGTCAACCACACGTTCATTAGTATGTTGCATTATTTCGCCTTAAAATGGATCTGAGTTGGATTTGTTGAAGTTTTTTCATTGATCATATGCATAAGTTATTTTTTAAATGCATCGTGCATTATTTAATCAAAATTTTAATTTTTTGGTCCCCCCTTTGGTAAAAGCTGCCTGCGCCCTTGGTAGTTGGATTGAAGCCTTATGCTTCCAAGTGAAGTGAATAAAGGGATTTAAAAAAGAAACATTTGTCGATTGTTGAACATACTCAAGCATTTTGACGATAAGTATTGAAATTATTAATTTTTTTATAATTTTAACTCTGAGCAGATTCTACGGGCGGTTGGTTTATTTCTAATTTCAATATACACTTAAGGAACCAATCACCTATTTTTGCATATGATCAACATCTTTTTTACACGGTTGTTTCTGGAACCAGTCTACCGTGTTAAAACAGAATTAGATTTACATATTTTGTGTATAAGTAATTCGAATTTTTATATAACATTTATGTGTTATATATTTTACAGCGCTGAGTAACTTTTTAATTAACACAAAATGTACATCGTATTAGAGATTTTTCAAAGAATTTGAAAATTATTCCGTATATAATTGAAAGTAAAGAAACATAAATCATCTTGATATATACATATCTCAGTATCTGCAGATTGCAAAAACAGTCTACAATTTCAAGACCATTTCAAAATATGAGGAAGCAAAGAATAGTTATTTTTTGGGGCTAAGATTCTAAAAGGGATTTATAAAAAGCGGGATTATATAATTGAACCCGTAGAATAAGCAAGAAATTAAACTGATGTTCATTTATTTATTTTCAAAATATTTCAGATTTAAAATTAAAAATTAAATTCTAGAAAGGTACTCAATTTTTTTTAAACTGTCATCATAGAAGCATAAAATTCGAATTATTGTGTTCAATTGTCTTGCATGCATTTTTCTTAAATGGAATTTATTCGAGTTTTTGTATTCAATGTTTATGCATGCATTTTTTTAAAACGCTAACAATTCATTTACTTTAATTAATTATAGTTTTCTTTTTTCAATGACCCCTTTCAGTAGCACTAACAGATAAAAAAGCTTAGGCGAGTAGGATGGAAGATAAACTATTAATAACAAACTTGTAAAAATATAGAAAACTTTCCACACAAAAACTTTATCCAAAATGATTAATGAATACATTTTAAACAAATTCTGGATATTTAAAGAAATTATATAGTATTTGATTCTTATTTATATAATTTTAAAATAACCTTTCAGATACAATCTCTGTAGCATACATTTGATGGCTATT